TATGAGTGTAGTCTCAAGTTGCATCCATTTACCTACAAAAGTCTCGAGTTTATCCTTCTTTATGGCTGAGTACTCCATTGTATAAAAATACCACATCTTATTAGTCCATTCCTTGGTTGATGGGTATTTGGGTTGTTTCCAAGATTTAACTAATTACAAATTGTGCTACTATGAACATGGGTGCACATATATTGCAGTGATATGATGTTTTTAATTTTTCTGGGAAGATACCCAGAAGGGGAATAGCAGGGTCAAATGGGACCTCTAATTCTAGCTTTTAAGAAATCTCTATACTGATTTCCACAATAGTTGCATCAGTCTATGTTCTTACCAACAGTGGAGAAGGGTTCCTTTTTTCCCACAGCTCCTCTAGTATTTGTTATTGGTTGATTTCTTGATGACAGCCTTTCTTTCTGGGGGTGAGATGGAATCCCAGTGTTACTTTAATTTTACATTTCTTGAATGACCACTGATGTTGACATGTTTGAAGGAAGCTGACTGTTTGTTTGACACTGCCCTCCAATATTCTGTGGCTATTTGACACTGCCCTCCGATAGGCTGTAGCTGACTCCTGTTCATCCTTCACAGTACACAGCAGATAGGCCCAACCCTCTCAAGCTTGTCTTCCACACTAGGAGCAGGGCAGCTGCAGGGCATAACAATCAGAAGCCCAAGGGAAATCTGACAGCTAGACAAAAGAGCCATAAACTGCCACTTCTGCCTGCATCTCTCCTTCCTCAGGGAGGTGAATGAGTTTTGAGTTACTCTAAAATTGAGAACACCAATTGTACCTAATGACTGCTTGTGGATAAAGTCTTTAAAATGTGTATGATCACTTATCCAGATGGAACCTGGATCAAGGCATGGATGTTTGCCTCTAAATCATCTGAGCTCAGGAAATAAAACCAACTAAAGTCTCCTGGATAGAGACAGGCTGGGTGCTCAAGCTAGCATGGGGCTAGATCACCGCAGCTCATTATGATACAGTCCACAAATATGGGGGGTGCCAGTATCCAAGATGGATACTGGCAGTATCCACGGATGGTTCTTGCGTTAAGGAGGTCTCAATTGTTGCTTCCAACTGGGAGAGCCACAAAACTACAACTAATACAAAATCAAATGTGCTGTCACTCTTATGTCCTAGATACTGTTTGCCTTAACTTCTATAATGCTCTAGGCAAACACAGAAGGAAGGAAAAACAAAGGATGAGGCCTTTCCTCTTCCTTTGATTCACTTTATGCTCCCTGGAGGAAAGGCCAAGCTGGGGAAGGCAGAGACAAGCATTCAAAGCTTCTAGGCCTCCCTGCAGCCTCGAGGAAACATCGGCATAAAATTAGCTGCATTCCCTTTGCTCCAGGTCTCTGCTTACGAGCAACCATCTGACTGTTAATTAAATTGGCATTATGGTTTTAAAATGAATCTTTTATTATTTGTGTACCATTAATCTAGCCCCCTGGGATGTATTCACCTCAAGGGGAGCTGACAAAATTGAATTTTTTCATGCTGTCATTTCCCCCACACCCCCTTCCCCACCTCCTGAGGTCCAATCTAAGCACCTGGCTCCCAAATCCCTCTTCTGAGGAATCCATTTACTCCCAAGAGTATTCCTGAGCACCTCAGAATCAACAGAACACTGATCAGCACTTTGCCACGCTAGCTCGGGACATAAATGAAGAAGGAATAGTTTATCCATGATATAAAAAATTGTAGTTTGTTTTTAAAAGGCTATTAAGGGGAAAGGCAGATGAATCTTACCCATAGAGCAGTCTGAGTTAATTGTTCATTAACTGCTGTACATTCTCCAGTAGGAAACGGACTGCTATCATCAAATTAGTCTTTTTCACCTCAGTTAAACATTTAGGCTTTAGCCCAGAGGCCAAAATGTGAAGAAAAACAGTGCAGAGACATAAACTTGCAACTTACATGCTTCAAAACACTTCCTTATGTTTTCTAGCCTGGGGTCTTCCCTACTGCTCAGATGCTGCTAGAATATTCGGTGTCAGGAACATCTTCTTGGGACTCCAGGGGCCTGCTGATCCTTGACCTGAATTCACCCCAGTCTGTGGAGCCCAGGTGACCGTCCTGGAGAAGAGATGACACAAACTCAGATAAACACAGGAAAAGCAAAACCACTTATCTTTGGGATCAGTGTTTATCGCTCCAACCCTCTCATCACAGCTGCCTCTCAGGAAGAAGCACTGGATTTCTCTTGTGTGTGTTGTTGCCATTAAGTTCCAGGCAAGCCTTGCTTCAACAAAGCCTCAGCCTCTCTCTTCTCTCACATGAAATGCTGCAAGCCTCCTCTGCAGTAACATTTTTACTTCGACTCCAGGCTACATTCGATCTTTAGCTCTTTGCCCATATTTTTGCTTTTTTATATTAAAAATAACTGGTATCTCTGTAAGGTTTATCAGTGGTCTTGCCATCAGATTCAGGATCCTTCCTGTACTCTGAACTTGCCTCATCTTCTCTCCGTCTCCTTGTCTGGTTCGAATTCACACTTTAGTAATGATTTTCAGATCAATTACAGTTGAGAGGACACCAAGTCGATGTGCGAGGGCGGATGGCTTGGAAGTTTCTAACTCAGTGACTGACCGAATCAGCTGTTAAGTGATATCAATGGCCTGGGCCAGAGAGTTGGAACTAACAGGGCGAGAAGGACCAGAGATAAAGCTGAGGACCCACATATTGGTTAAAACTGATAAATGAGCAAAGCACAGGCTGGTGAATACACTGTGGTCACTTTTAATCATTGTGACCAACAGATGACAGTGGGTGATACGGGGATGAGGGAGGATCACAGCAACTGGAGTCACGAATGCACTCAGGGTGCAGCTTCTGCAGAAGGGAGCCTGTACGGAGGAAGGCAATGGTCTCTGCGTCCTATGAATTGATCTCATTTTCTCTAAAGCATGTGAACTTTTGATGCATACATTTGAAGAGGAACACTGACCACTGGAAAGATATCAGAGGATGAACTTCTGGGTAGCAGAGATGCCAGGAACTATATCTAAAGAGGAATCATCAGAAACTAGAGGGGACATCTATTTGGCAAGAAAAAATAAGGTGTCATTCACTACTTAAATGACTGTTGGAAGACCAGCAATCTCGCAGAATTTCAAGGGGCTGGCCAGGATCATAGATGAGAAAAACAGGACATGTGTTTTTCTTTAACAAAGCAGATAAAAAAAGCTCGAGTCTGCTAGTGTCCCTAGAAAAGTGACCTGGAAGCAGGTCTTAGCACACGACACTGCTGTTGTTGTCATGTGAATGTGGGCCAACTGCTGCCGTCTCTTCTGATTTCTCAAGACAAGCCAGAAAGCCAGATTTTTATGCAGCATGTCCCAGTTTTAATTTTAGCAACTACGTCAAGCTGTTTAAAGAAATGATGGTGTCTCTGGGCAGGTGGCGGCTCAGGGTTGCCAGTTCACAAGGTCTATAGGTGACAATTCTTGGTTTCAACAGAGGATAGTGCTAAAATGCCCAGATGGAAGATTTTGCTGCATTTTGAAGGAATTTTCAAATGTTTAGAAGAGAATAGGCTTTCTAGCCAGGTTCGAAGTAATGAAAAATAATTAAGACCATCAATATTAAGTGACTGTATATGAGAGAGATGCTAAAGAAAGGATTTTCTCCTTAAGCATAGATGTTGAACCAAATCATGTACTACTATTATGTTTTTACAGCAGAAAAGTAGTTTACAGTTTACAAAATGCTTTTATATCACCTCATGAAGATTACTAGAACAATTCTTTGAGGCACAAAAGTAAGCATTTCTATTTTATAAATGACTCAGCGGAGTACCTGAGATATTAAGTATCTCCAAGAATCATCCAGGAAACGGAGCAGCAGAAGTGGGATGGGATGACTCAGTCTCTAGCTGTGGAGTCAAGCTCTTTCTGAGGAAAGAGCTCCTCACCGTCATAAGATTCCATTCCCAGTTGTGCTCTCACGGATGATTCTTCCTTTCCCAAAGTCAGTCCACTCTCATGGAGACTTCTGCACATTTCTGTAGCCTATGCCTTCCTGATCTTTTCTTGACTCCCTGAAAGCTCTTCTCCCTTATGATTTCTTGTTGAATTTCTTCCATCTGGACTCTATCAGCTACAAGAACGTCCCCTCAACTCCTAGTGCCCCAAACTGGCCACTTTCTTGACATGTATTTGTCCAAAGTGTTTACTTCTCCATTGTGTCTTTTACAAATTTGTTTCTGTAAGCACAAAAACTTGTTTTAACTTACCCATAAACAAACATACAGGCACATACTCATGGAGTTGGTACTTTATTAATAAATCATGAAATTATTACAATTTCTGGATTTGCAAGTCAGCCAGGAGGAAGAGATGTTGTCAAGGATGGTTTCTAGTTCTTCCCACCTCTACTTCCTCCCAGAAATTTTGATTTTGACAAAAGCCTTATTCATGCATGCCCAGTAAGGAGACACAGTTAAGATTTCATTCTCTCTGTTGTTTGAGGTTCATCAATGTCAATTTGAAATACACAATTATTCTTTGGTTTAAGATGAATACATTTACTCACATGCACTCAAATGTAGAGAAGATGCTAAGGAAAACTTTCAAGTGTCTTACTTTGGCTCAAACGGGATTTTTAAAATAAAGCAGTGTCAAGGGTTTCCCTGGGTGGTTTGTGGATGTAGATCAAATGCAATGACCTTTTTCTAATGCCCTGTATTTAAACCCGTGCATCCAAATATCTTTTAACATGAAATAAATTATTGCAACTTGCACCTATCAGCTACAACGAAAGACAAAAGTTGTATAGAACATAGAAAACGTGCATAGAAATAGGTAACGGGGGAAAAATGTCTCAAGAACCATACTGCATTCAGCCAAGCAGGGAGAGCTATTTTGTTTTGTTTGGATTGTTTTGTTTTGGTGATCTAGCTAGTCAAATGACCGGTTAAGAATATTTCATAGAGCTAATATTCTGATGCTCTAATCTCCCTAGACAAGGTTCATATTTGTGTGGGTTACTTATTCTCCCTTTGTTGACTAAGTCAATAATCAGAATCAGCAGGTTTGGAGTCAGATTGGCAGGGATCAGCAGCCTGGCTTGGGGGCAGAGTATATAAAAACTCTAACCTGTAATCGGCTGTCACAGAAGCCCCCTAGTTCCTGGCAGGATGGCCTCTCGCCTACTCCTCCTTTGCCTTGCTGGACTGGTATTTGTGTCTGAGGCTGACCCTGTGGTGAGTGCTTGATTCTTTAAAGTCCCTGTTATAAAATGCAGATGTACATTGGGTGACTTCTTGTAGCTTTGACAAGTCGTGCCATTAACAGTGGAGAAGCTCATTAACTGTCAGCACTCCTGTTATTGGTAATGAGAGCACTGTGCACTTCCAGATTTGTTCCAGATTCTTAATGCCATTGATTTAAACTTCAAAAAGAATGAAGCTTTGCAGAGCTTGCTGGACTAGGGCTCGGAGTCATGGTTTTTTGCCTTGTTGCTTTGATACTTTGAGTTTGCAATGTCTAGTACCTTGATACCCTCAGACAGATGCCAGAAATAAAGATATGCTATCAATGAAGCTGCTAATTTTGAATTTCATGAAATTACCCTGTTATGAAACACAGTTAGGGGACAAACTGCATAGATTACATTCAGGCTCTTTGGTTCATCAAAACAGAAGTATTGACTGATTTTTTTGGCAAACAACGTTCTAGTCAGAGAGCTGATTTTTAAATCTAGAAGAATTAACTAATGCTGAGTAATAAATAGAAGAATTAACTAATGATGAGTAATAAAAGTAGTCTGATATTATTTTACAATAGCTGGTAAAAAGAAATTACTATGCTGACAACTTTTAAAAATGATCTCCGGAAAAATTATTTGGTCCTCCAATACAGTGAACTTTTCAGTAATTCCACTCAAATAAAGAGACTGAACAAAGCAACTATTCTCAGAGGGCCTATTTTCTCCTTTGAAATTCATTGCAAACATCCCCAGTCAATCGATAGTGTGTCTGGAGGCAGAAACCATTCTTGCTTTGGAAACAATTATGTCTATGTTATATTGAGCGGGGAAGCTCATTAATTATCAACACTTATGTTACTGGTAATGGGATCAGCATGCACTTGTTCCAGATTCTTAACACCATAAAGAATAAATCCTTTCACTTTGGTCAATTTTGTTGACTTCTTATTTGTTCTCTCTGTGCCCAGGGCACTCGTGAAGCCAAGTGTCCTCTGATGGTCAAGGTCCTAGATGCCGTTCGAGGCAGTCCTGCTGTCGGGGTAGTGGTGAAAGTGTTCAAGAAGGGTGCGGATGAAACTTGGGAGCCCTTTGCCACAGGGTAAGCTGCCAAGGAGCCCCACTGTGGGACTTGGCTACATCTTCCCATCCTCCCTTCCAGTTGTTAAGGAGAGATCCAGCTCATCTACAAGCAGAGAGTTGGGGTATAGTTCAGGGGTAGAAAACTTGCTTAGCAAAGCCCTGGGTTCAATCCACAGCTCTGAAAAAACTAACAAATATAATCAAACCAAAATCCCAAGAAGCTATTAGTAGACTGAAAATGTGAGCAGAGGTTAATTGTGCCCTTCGAAGAACCCCTTCTTCTTGCATTTCTTCACGGGGAGTGACCAGGAACTGGAGCAGCATTTTGGACAGACGCTAGAAAATAGGAAAAGGGGTGAGAAGCTCTGCAATCCACTCAAGCAGGAGTTTGCAACCCTTCAGGTTATAAACCACTTAAAGCTAATGATAGATTCCATGTCCAGATAAATGCACACAGACACATATATACAAAACATACCGGTGACTTCAGGAGCTTCGCAGATTCCTTGGTGCTCCCAGGTGATCTGGGTGACATCCAACAGAGAGTCCTTGTCTTAGGATTTTAGGAAGGATGCACAAAGTGCCTGAATTTAGTCACAAAAAGAAAGGAATTGAGGGACAGCATTGACAGGTCACTGGGATTTTTCTGGGTCATCCAGGATCTAGGTTTTTGTCTAATGAACATGCTGGAGCACTTACTATGTGTGAGGCAGGCGGCTGGCAAGCTTGGTAAGAAAAAAAACCTCCAAGAAAGCAACACGGGAGGTAAAGCCCAGCCGCCCAGGGAGCTTGCATCAGCCACCATCAGTGCAGAGATGAAGTTGGCCACTTTAAAATTCACTAGGTTTTTCTAACTCTACTAGCAAAAATTTCAAAGGAAATGCACGTTAGTAAAGCCCAGTGAACTCGCTGAAAGTCAAAGCAACAGGAAATCCCCTCAGCACTAAGCAGAAAAGAAAGTGCTAAACACTGATGCCTCCTGGGGGAAGAGTTTCTGTTGGATTTTAATCCTGTCCCCAGAACCATATGACGAGTCTTCACCTATCATAGGGGACATCATTTAGGGGGAGTATGGTTTTAACTGAAGTTTTTATTTTCTAATTCACTTGTGTTTATATGAAATAACAAGTACAACATGAAAAATGGTCCGGAGAGTATTTTAAGTGAGAGAGAGAATAGAACCAAGAAATTCAAGATTCTCAAGGCTCCTTTTTCTCGTAAAAAGACATGTAAAAAGAAGAAGTTAAAAAAAAAGGAATAGGGGCAGCCATGGTCAGAATGACTCAATACAACTTTCACTTTTATCTGTCTTAGCGCTTATGAGTTAAAGGACAGCAATTTCTAACTTTTCACCTTTTGACCTGGACCCTACGTGGAACTGGAAGTCACCCAGTATTTTTTGTTAGCAAAGAAATACCAAAGAGATTAAATATATAAAAGGAAAAAAAGTCAAATGCAGATTGTTCTTTGTACTTTAGGGGACAAATGATACTATCTCTGAAAGGTTCGCTCATGTCGTGTGTGGCAGGACTGAGACCCTGCAGTCATGGACAGCTGCACAGTTGAAGCGGCTGCTGGCCACTTCTGGCCTTGCGAACATTTACCCCGTCACCAGTCTTGTTTGGGGTTTGGTGCTGAGGACGTACGTTGGCTAAGAAACATCCTGCTGAGCCATAGCTACCGGTTTAGGATTCCTATTTATTTGTTTGTTTATTCATTTATTTGAGACAAGTTCTTGCATATAATTTAGGCTTGTTTTGAACTCACTGAGTAGCCCAGGCTGGCTTCAAACTTGCAGTAATCCTCCTGCCTCAGCCTCCCAAGGGCTGGTCCCTTGGAGGGACCATCACATTCAAGTCCCATCACATCGGGCAGGACTTTTTAAAATAAAGTTGTATTACTTGTATTTTTGTTTTGATGAGAGAATAGATCCACAATGAACTTTTTGAAAGTTTCTACAAGTTTTTTTGCCCTTTCCTGTCAAAGAGGTACAAGGGTTTTCTCCCTGCTAACTTGGTAGAAGGGGAAAATTTAATGAGATAGATAGATAGACAGACAGATAGATAGATAGATAGACAGACAGACAGACAGACAGATAGATAGACACAGATTAGAGAGATAGATAATGAATTATACATAATAGGTAACTAGATAGAGATATGGATCTCACACACAAATACACACACCTTCTTTACCAGGCCATTTATTCCTTTCATGCCTAACTCGAGCTGGACTTTTACGCCTTGCAGGAAAACCAGTGAAACCGGGGAGCTGCACGGGCTCACAACCGAGGAGAAGTTTGTAGAAGCGATGTACAAAGTGGAATTAGATACCAAGGCCTACTGGACAGCAGTCGGCATTTCCCCATTCCATGAACATGCAGAGGTGAGTGTCCACCTCCATGAGGTTGTTTCTGGGTTTGTTTTTAGTTCCAGGAAGCACAGTTTGCTGTCAGCAGACCACAGCAATGCCATAAGGAAAGTGTTGGAAAACTGGTTTCCTCTCCCTTTCAAAATTAGAAATTTACAACACTCAGAAGGAAATCTTTAGAACTCATGTAGGCTATTTGTAACAAGAGAGAATGCACCATGTCACTTCTCTAAAATTAGAAAAATTCTTCACTCCAAATACCCCTGTTGCCTCAGTTTCAAGTAAGCGATTTTTGGCAATGTTAAATAAAGATTATGAATTCAAAACAATCACTCAATAGATAACCACCAGCTGTATGTCGTTGGCCACACACTAAGCTTAGTATGTGTTTCCTGTGCATCTTTAATCCATTCCATCATCATGATCCACCCATCAATATTATTATTACTCCCATTTCACGGATGAAGAAACTGAGGCACGATGAAATTAAATAACTTGTCCAAGGTCTCACATCTCATAACTGCAGGAGCTGGCAGATTTACTACAAGGGCCCAAGCTGGGTTTGGACTGAGTGCAGTGCCCTTTGATACCTCAGAAAGTTCATCCCCTGAGAGAAAATGGAGAGGGGGATATTAGCAAATTTTGGTTTATGCCTATTTTTCTACTGATAAGTATTCTCAAATAGTTATCCCCTGCCTCTTCCTTGTCTTAATTTCCCAAGCCATTTAAAACAGATGGCAGTCATGAAAATAGAATCCAGATATGTTGGTCAGTGTTAAAGATCAACCAATTGCATCAAAAATAACTTGGCATGAAAGGGAATCATTCTTTCTGGCTTAGCATGGAGGAGACTTGTAACTAACATTATGAGCTCATTCTCTGCATAGACAGCGTTACCAGGGAAACTTTAGGGGCCTGTTTAACTTTTGGGGCCCACAAGTCTCCAGGTAGGAGTCTATCTACCGAGAAGCCTGTCTCTGCCTTGGTCAGGCGGCAAATGACTAAGACATCAGGACAGGAGCAAGTTTAGCTGGAGACCATTGCAAGACACTCCTGGCCCTAACCCTGGAACTCTGCATCTGCCTTCCTAGGACCAGACTGTCCTGGGTCTCAGCCTGTTGGGGCCACCTGAGCACAGTATCCATGGTCATATCGTTCCTGTCCTTCATGTCAGCTTCCTTGTCCACGCATCACTCACAGTATTCACCAATCATTTTAAAGATAAAAATTTTCTATGCGGAGAGCATTTGGCTAGATGCCAGAGATTCAGAAATGAAAGCACCCATCTGTGTCCTGGGAAGGAAAGGGCAGGGGATAATGTCAGATATACTAGGCAGAGTTGTGAGCCCAATTTCCAGCCAGAATGGATACCAGCAGCAACAAGAAGTGAGCGGGAAGCGTGTAGCCCAGTGCCTCACTCAGAGGACGGGGCACCGCGGAGCTGCAGGCAGGTGGAGCTCGCCCTCCTCTCCTGACCACAACCCAGGAGGTTAAATGAGACCCGAGGAAAAGCAGAAAGTTTCCTTTGAAACTATGAGGCCTCTTTGCTTCATGCATTTGTGATCACATATGAGATCCCTTTGGTAATAAGAGGAAGAATCAAGAGGGCCTAGAGGCCAAAGTCACCAAAAGAGATAAGAAACTTTCCCTGGTTGCTTCCAGGCACTTGGCTTTCATGAGTTACCTTTCTCCTGGGAGAGAGTCTTAGGTGATGCCCATATCCTCTTGCCCAGGTTTTATTCTTGTATGGCTCACTCTGTTCTTTTGTTCTCAAGTCCCTAAATCATCATGTTTCCTTTTTACATATTTGGAACAAAAAGATACTTATCTTGAGTGTATCCAAAGCTCAAGCCAGGACCTGCATGCAAAACAAATTTATGAATATCCGGGCCGTCCTCCATCTCAGCTGAATCTTAGATGCACCACTGAATTTTTGAGAAGTACAAGACTAATTAACTGCAACAACGTATCGGTCCACCATTTGCCCAATCAATAGGCTGGAAGTGAGCTCCAAAGCAGGCACGTACATTGCAAAATTCTGACATGATTTTGCAGAACTGCTCTTCTTGTAACTAGAATAATGCTTTTACTCCATGTTTTATTGCCTGAAATATACCCAACAAGATGCACAAAAATGCATATCTTCTTCATGTTAAAAAACTTAGAGGAACAGTGGGAGAAAAGCCTGTGGGCTTGGTAACGGAAGACTTGCTCTCCTGGTGTGGCTCTGTCACTGTATGAGCTGGCATGAAAGTTAATTCAGGGGTGTGGTTTGCTTTGCAGTAAAATGGCAGAAATAGTCCTTTCCTGTTCCACAATTCTAGGTCTCGAAGCCTGCAGTGGGATTGGCGGTCACCATTCTCAGCAGGTCTTTGGTCCCTGGGTGCCATTGTTTATCCCCCCCACCCCTTTTCTGAAACCAAACACTTGGTCAGGAACCTTGGTGCTCTCTGTAACTGCCCTCAGTCACACCCAGCCACCCAGTCTGCCTGAGTGACTCTGTAAAATAAGACACACAGCGGTGAAGGACTCTTCTCTAAGAACTCTGCAAGGCTTTGAAGGCTTTAGCTTGCCAGTGTGTTTGAATTTGTGTTTCTCCTTCTCATTGGTCCCAAAGAAACTAAGTAATAAAATTGAAATAATTAATCTTGCACTGGACTTCCAGGGGTCTCTCTGACCGCCCTTCTGCAGACTGAAACTCTGGGGCTCTACTGGAAACGGTTCTGTCTGTCCCCCCTCCTAGGTGGTGTTCACAGCCAATGACTCCGGCCGCCGCCACTACACCATCGCCGCCCTGCTCAGCCCCTACTCTTACTCCACCACGGCAGTTGTCACCAACCCCAAGGCATGAAGGACTTGGAGAAGACTGGGCCTCATGTAACCAACAGCAGTCCGTTTTTACGAAAGCAGTATTTTCATCGATAAGCTATGTTAGAAACTCAGGAAGATAAAACATTCCTATTAAAGCATTTCTCATTTCATTTGATTTTGGTGGTTTTTTATCCCCTCACTCTTCCCTTCAAAAACACAAAAATATGAATTTTACAAAGAAACATAAGAATTCTATAGTCTCTGGCTGGAGCTCCGGGAGAGATCCACACTTCCTGTGGTTGGCCAGGGAGACATTCTAAGAACGGGTTAAACAACAAAGCCTGATTTCCCATAGCCTTCAGTGAATAGCCAAGGGCAAATTGTGGGGCCCGGCTTCTTTACTTTGGCCATTCTTTACTCTGGCCATTTCTCTTAAACCCTAACTCATTTCAGGAGACGCATGTCCCTACGGGCACGTTTTGGCAGCAACCCAGGCTCTCTGATAAAATTCAGACCAACTCTGTCATCCATCATGGTTTGACAAGGCCAGTGGTCCAAAAATATGAGGGAGAAAGAAACCAGAGACCTGGAGAAGACAGTGAAGGATTCAGAACAGGCATCAGTCAATCAGAGCTTTTGCAGATTGTCAGGCAGAAAAAACAGAAGGTATTTTAGGTAGATAGAAGAGAGATTGCTAAGCCAGGCCAAGGGAAAGTATTTGATAAGTTGAGGGCACAGCTGGTGAATCTGAGTGTTGAAGGGTAAGGTTATCAAGATGGGCTGGGGTGTGTACTGATGTAACAACCCAACCCACATTTTTTAGTGGGTTCCCTTACTCATGCTGGATCCAATGCATAAGTTCTTGCCCTAGTAATGCCACAGGGTGGTTTTCATTTAAAGGATGATTCTAGGACCCAGTTTAACTTAGTTTTGGGCATCAAAGTCACTCTGGTGACATCTAGCCAGTAGACTGAGAGAAAATAGAGTAGATCTCTCTGATGAACACATGAGCCCAACTGTGTTCACTGGCCAGAGCTAGTTACATGGTATCTTATTCTGTTTTCTGTTGCTATAACAGAATGCCTGAAACAGATAACTTATTAGGAGTAGAAGTTTATTTTGGCTCACAGTTCCAGAGGCTGGGAAATCAAATCACTGGCATTAGCCACTTCTCAGCTTTGACTGTCATGGCAGAAGACAGAAGGGCAAGTGGGCACATATGGAGGAGACGAAACGTGAGGGGAATTCTTGCTTAATAACAACCTGCTCTTGGGTGAGAAATCCAGTACTTCCAGGGCAGGAAGTCACTCATTACTTGAAGAATTAACCCGGTCTCCTGACAAAGTGTTAACCCATTCAGGAGGGCCGCACCCTCGTGACCCCAATACCTCCATCCTGTCCTCCCAACACAGCTTCATTGAGTGTCTCCAGAACTGTAAGCCAACAGTCAACTTCTACTAATGATGTTTATTATCCCATTTCTGGTATTGTTTTATAGCAAAATTTCAACACATGGACTTTTTGTGGGGTGCAGCCAAGCCATAGCACATCGGGTAATTTCCCTGATACACTGAGAATGGGTAAACTATATGCTTTTTTTGGTATTGGGAATCAAACTCAGGACTTGCAGCTTGCCAGGCAGGTGCTGTGCTACTGAGCTATACCCATAACCCTACTATAGTCTTCTGTAATCAAAATCATTTGCAAACATGAACATAAAAGGTTTGAAAATATGAAACTTTGAAATAAGTCCATAGAAATCTGCTACTTGGAAAGTAAAAAATTACTTTTAATATTTATTTCAATTTTTTCTTAATAATGTTGAACATACTGTCCTGCATATTTTGGAGGGCCATTTGGACCTCTTGTGTGAACTGCATAACCACTTACATCAGCCATATGATTCAGGAATTCTGCTCACTTAATATTGATTTATAAAAACTGTAATTAAAAGATGCTATGAACTGTTTGGGGTTTTGTTGTTGCTGTTTTGTTTTGTTTGAGCCAGGGTCTTGCAAGGTAGCTCATGCTGGCCTTAATTCATTATGCAGCCCAAGCTGGCCTTGAACCCATAGCAATCCTCCTGCTTCAGTCTCCCAAGTGCTGGGTGAATGAGCTGTATTTTAAAAGCAGATGTGACATACCTAAGTCACAGAAAAGTACATCAGTCAAAACATGGTAACTCTCTGGGAGTTTATGTTGTTGATACATTTCTTTCTGTGCCTCACATTTGAGAAATAAAAAGTCTCATGCAGTTCACTGGTGGGGATGGAAAAGACTCTCCTGGTGTTCTGGCTTGTGTCTAGGTGTCCCCCCAAAGCCTCATGTGATCACAGGTGGGCTTTTCAGATGTGGCTGAATCTAGGATGTGTGATGCTGGGATCAAGGGTGTGATGCTGGGGTTGATTCCTGGTGTGATACCGACCCTAAGGGTTTGTAGCTTCATAGGATGTAAGAGACAGAAAGAGGGTCTCTGCTTGTCACTTGTTGCTTGCTATTTCACTGTTTTGCCTGCCATGAACTGTTTCTCTCCTGTGATGTGGATACACCATACCACCCTACCTTGGAGCTAGCTGGTTATGGACTGAACCCTCTACAAACTGTGAGCTAAGACACACGGCAATCCAAATGAAGAATAAGAGAGGAAGAACACAGGAACCTAGAAAACACATGGTATATGGTTGCTGTAGCCTTACAGACTGGTGGGAATTAAAGGATAAAATTCAACTAAAAAGAGTGAGGAGAGAATGGTGTTAGTATCTGCAGCCCAGGCCACCAGGAATAACGTCTGTGCGGGAGAACCAGCTGAGTTTATTTCTCTGTCCAGCAAGGAGGAACACCGCTAGAGGAACCACAGGGAGCTCATTAAGAAAAGCTTAGAGAGAACCTAAGATAAGATCTGGGCTATGGCTGGGTGGTTTGGGGTGGAACCGGGTATCCATTCTACACTGAATGCTGTCAGAAAATGAGGGCGACCATACAATCCAGAATCTCCATGAAGAGGGCAAAGCAGAGCAGAGATAAACCCGTGGTTGGTACAACAGCAGCAGTCACTCATTTTGGGGAGATGTAGATGTACGGTATTTTGCAGGTTTCGCAGTGATTTTGCCCTTGGCTTACTTTATCATGATCTCAGAGTGACCTTGTTCGATGAGGCTGTTCCGTGAGATTATTACATCCAAAGAGACAACGTGGTCCTCTGTGAGAGCTGGATTAGTTTCTGGGTGTCCAGAGCTGCTTCATTATATTTCTTTATTTTGCTGAATGTCTATTTAAAATAGAAAATCAACAGATAATCGTTTTGTCGTGGGCTGTGAGTGAATTGCAGGTGTCTCCGGGGTCTCAGGCAACCATGCTGGTGAAATGGGTTGAGTGAATGAAACAGAAACTACACTCAGAATATAGGCAGAAGGACAAACTTGTAGTCAGAGATATGAAGTTCAATTTTAACTACACTGCGCTTAAAGTAATCATGCCAAGATTTTGATCTCATAACTTCAAAACTGGCATTGTGCGCCTGCAGAGCCAGAGAAATGTAAGATTTCTTGAAAATAAAGATCATAAATATTCAAATACCTCCTGAAACATTTTGATAGGATCTATCAAAGGAGGAAGTGTAAGGCACTTGTGCCTCAAACTGATTTTGTCAACCAAAGGCTATGGTAGAGGCAGCGTTCCCTGAGAATTATTTCTCACCAAATTCTCAGTTTTATAGCCAATTTCTTCTTACTTCACAGTTCATAGACCATGTCTCCTCCCCCCTTAGCCCAATTACTTCTTACTGCCCTTCAAAATGGAAATAAGATTCCATTACGATCAATTTCATTTTTTTTTTCAACTCTCCATTCTGCTTGGGTTAAAACTGCCTCAGGTAATTTAAGACAAAGCAGATGGTGATCCATCTTCCTCCGTCCATCCAAATGCAGGTCTGTTCTGGAGTCACCATTAGCTAGGGGACAAGTCACATGTGGGCTTCCTTAAATAAACCCTACAGGCTCAGCAGACACCCCCTTGCTGTCGCTGCCTTTAATGTTGTTACTCCCGGGAGGTTGTGGGTTATGGAACTGGGAAGTACACATGGTGGGGAACTCAGGAGTGGCAGTCTTTGGGAGAGGGTTCTGGGGCTGCCAAGAGAGCCCTGGGCAGTGCCTGGGTGAGGACTCGTGCTGGCTGCATGAACATTGCTCTGCAGGCATCCTCAGTAAAGTGCACTGGAAAATACATTGGCTCCATTCCCATGTGTCTGCAGGATAGTGCTTAGCACTTAGTGGTCGGTGCTTACTAAGTGAGCAGCACTGAGCTGCATTCGTTCCAAGAATATGAAAGGAAAAAAAGAAGTGTTTCACCCAGGTATGCCTCTAATTCTCACGTGAGCCCTCACAGACTTCACCAGAAGTTTTTTCTCTTCAAATATAGTAGCACTGGGACCAGGATCCAACAACTTACAAGAAATGGACCACCACCTAGGGGCAATCTGCTTCAAACAGAGTACTAGGTTCTCCACCTTTGGATTTATTTCAAGAATTTATGCTCTTGGAATATTTAAAAATAGAGTTTGCCTGTTTGAAGTCCTTCTGACTAGGACAAGGAACTGTCTGGGGTTCCTTGGTAAGAGAGAACACTCAGGGAAATTCACAAGAGCCGTGAAAGGAAATATCAGAGCTACATCGCTGGCATCCATTGCATCTGTCCTTAGCTCACTGAGCAGCTACTAGCAGAGAAGGGTATGAGCCCGCCCTTAGCTCAGGAGCAGGTGAGCAGGGTAAGGGGCTCGTTACATCAGTCAGTGAATTCTCATCGTCTGCCGAGGCATTGAGCTCATTGACGCACAAGAGAACAAAAATTAGGAAATCAGAGGGACTCACTGGATAAAAGCATGGTGTTACATGGAAGATTGCCACAGGGCAGGTGCGGGCTGCCATCCTCTGCTGGGGACGGCAGTGGCCTTCAGGAGGGAGCCCCTTCCAGGAAGGCAAATGTGAGGCGGGGTGACCCTGAATGTTTCTGAAATTTTCAGTCGCATTCACCAATAGTTTCCTTCTTTAGTTTTAAATCAGTTTGATTCACTTTGTCATCTGTGACCAAGAATGTCTGAATTAATATAGCTGTAGTAATACTTGTCTAAAAGACAAGTTTAAAAAAAAAATTGGCAATGGCTCTTAACACTGGC